TCGCTTTATCACATATAGATGTCGAGGTTTTGTGTAAAACGTGCTTGTATATAGGTACTTGCTATGTTGCCTCTCTTTTACCGCTTTTATTTTGTGTTTAAACGGAGTATCCAAGAACGGTTTGATTGTATTTATCTTCTCTTCGACTTCCATGTAGGGATGAGTTTCAGTGATATACACCACTTGTCTGATTGGATGAAATCGAACTTTCTTCATCATCCCTTTAGTCCCACGTATGATCATACCATTCCGACTCATAGCAAGTCTTATACACCCATTGCTGGATTACCATTGGTCTATCATTGATTGACACACGTCATAACTCGGTCACAATTTGGACAGACAGGTCATTGACTTTGATCCGAAAACATTTAAGAATGCTATGACTTGATTAAAATTTGATAGACAGATAATCATGAGACAGTTACAACGTCTGCTGGCATTTCGTATTTTCCCCCGGTTTGTATGCTCTGTGGTTCATTTTTCCCGAGAAATGGAAATGTTCATGAGCATGGTGCTGCGTTTTTGTAAACCTTATTTCTCTTGGAATCATTGTCATTGAATTGTGTCGATGTATCGTTGTTATTTTCCTCACTTGCGGAATTTTGTATAGAATTTAAAACACTTTCGTCACTGCTAGTGATTACACTCGCGCGTTACATTTTATTTTTAATTAAGATTTGAAGTAAAGTAAACATTTTTATTGAGAAAAAAGCTATTGCATGTTTACACTTCGAACGGACCATTGTTCACTTTCAGAGAATTTTGAATACTCATGTGATCACCATCCGAACTCTTTTCATTTTATTTGAGTGGGATGAATTATTCACATCCCATCATAGAGTTTAGGCGGAAAGAAACCTCTTTTATTCTCGAATTTTTTTTTACACGATACGAATGCTAATGACATCTTCAAATCACTTTTACCATTGGAAGCATGAGTCACCATCTTGCATTCTATTGTTTCCATTGTTTGTTATGTTTGACTGTTTGGGTTTTTATTTTGATTTTGATATGGGAATAGGTGGGTTAGGGAATTGGGCTTCGGATGAGTGTTAGGGGTGTGGTTGTATGTGAGTGTCCGCAATAACCCATGTTCGAATCCTGGTCACGTACGACAATTTTCTTCCTTTTATTCTAAAATCAACGTTTTTTGAATATTCGTTTTATCTTGAAATCATTTTCCCTAAGGGAGGATTAAACACCATCTTAGGTTTCATTATTTTATTGTGTTTTCCTTGGATTCTCTAATAACCTTATCAAAATTATGAGGTTTCATATAAGCTCGAATATGACGCGTCATTCCCCTTAAAGAATCCTCACCCGCTTATGAAATAATTTCTAAGATTCTTTCTATCGCCTAAACGGTTACTTTAGGATTGACAGCAATATAATGTTGTCTTTCGTCCATATTTGTCATCAAGGTATGACCAGTTCACGGCATTCAGCCCTCTTTGTCTGAAAATTCACGTGTCCGCAAGAAAAAAAATGATATTTAGTCTGAAAGTTCTGCCTCTTCATCCCATTCGTGACTGTCAAATATGTGTTCCACGTAATTATAAATGGACTTCATGATTTCGTTCCTGTGTAATTGATATGTTTCATCATTTTTAAATTGTTCGTTTGGATATGTCTCCTTGGATTCTCTAATCACTTTATCGAAATTATGAGGTTTCATATAAGCT